GTTTCCAGAAAATAAATTTCCGACAATTTGACTGCTCCACGGAGGACAAACGTGACCGAACAGAACAGGGCAATTTGAGGCAATGAAGCAGATCCTGTAATTAGGTAGATACGTCGTAGTTGTGGTCGGAGGATCGATATGAGAAACTCGGGAAGGACGGCTCGCAATCTCTGTGCATCGACAAAAGTAACAAAGATTGTAGCAACGATTGTAGGTTCTGCCATTGTTCGTAGTTTACGATTCCTGGTATTCTTTTATTTTTTTAATTTTATTGTTATAAACGGTTATGCATTTTAAACACATGAGTGGATAAAGAATAATCGGGATCGCGGATATGAAATTTATAAAAGTAAATGTCAATGGTATTATAAACACGTGTGAAGTACAGAGACGAGACGTTGGCTGGCTGGCCTGACCGATTATGGCACATTCTCCTTACTGTAACCCATCAAAGTGCAGGATGGGAAGTAGATTATACCAGACACAATCAGATTCGCTGGCCAACCTGTCGTCTCTGTTAGAACAATAATAGAAATAAAAATATTTTTCGGAAAAATTTGAGCTCTATTACAACACTATTACTATAAATACTAGTTATATATACACTGATACAACATTCAGTCTTGCGATGCGATTTCAAGGAAAGTTGAGTTCTTCTCGGACGTCGAGCAGCACGCGTTTAAACTAACAGAGTCTGAAATGAAATTTATTATTCCGTTTATCATTTGGCGTTTTACAATTAGAGCATACTACACTATGCTTTAGTGTTTGAGGTAGAATAATTGTTTACAACTTTTCAAACGTTGTTCCTGATCTAATGAAAAACAATTGTTCCCTTATCGATTGAAAAATTTCCGATTAATTGCAGCAGAAGACTTTGACTCGTTTTATTATACACAAACTGTTGATTTACAATTCACTCTAAAATGGTACAAACAAAAAGGCGTACAAGAGTAAATATTGAGCACTTTAATTAACGTTTTAAAAACCTCCTTCGTATTTCGGATAATTAAATTGTGTTCTGTTTTTGTTCAGTTTTCAAGAGCCTTTCAAAGAATGTGTTATTATTTTCGTTCTTATCTAGTTTCTTTCCGCGACTGCAACTTCAATAGAATTTTTCTTTGACAGGCACTCCAACGTTCTTAGCGCTAGCACGAGATTTTACGCTAGCACAAGTAGCCTTATTTGCTGTACCTTTGCCTTTGTACATCTTACATTTGCCGTCGTTCGACGAATCGAGTCGTTGAAAATAAAAAGAGCGCGCAACGCGCAACGTACTTCCCAAAGATGAAAAGTCGATTAGTCGTAGAAGAAACTGATTATCGAAAAGTTAGTACGTCGCCGGGAATAATACCACGCGCAAAATGCGTTTGAAAGTTCGGTCAGAAATGATTTCGCGCAACTGCTCGAAAGATACTTTCTCGTCGAAACATCCTGTTGCAACTACGGAATAACACGAAGGTACGCACAAACAAGTTAATGAATTCATCGAAAGCTTACGGAATAACAAGTATGAAATTAGCGGAAGTTGGACGAACTTGCGACGATTATGATACAGTGCATAAGTACGAACCGAAACGATAGTCAAATTATAATTTAAAGATATGACGTAGATTTGGTATTCTACTTTCCAAGTAAAAAACACCTTGCGTTCGGAGTAAGTAATTCGTCGTTCTGAATTGCAAATCGATCGATAACAACAAACGAGAGAAATCAATATTGAATTAACGTTTTCTGCATTTCCTGCTGATAAGTTTTCGCAAAACTTGGAGAATTATTCCGACGCGTTCGTCTCTGTTAATTTTCAGTTGCACGCGCGTACCTTGGGTAAATTTTTTGACGCGTCATCGATTTTTCGTGCCCTGAATCCGGCCACGGTTCGCACAAAACACGCAATCACCGTGGAAATAGCCTTTAAACGCGGTAAACTTTGATAACGTCTCGTGCCGCGAGAATTCAACGAATTGTCACCGTAGCGGGTGTCGTGGACGGTCACAGATATTACTTCGCCAGAGATTGCGATTCGAGATTGCAGGAACGAGAAAATTCTTACGCAGGAAATTTGCGATTCTCGGATACAATAATAAGACTGTTCCAGACGCTTGTTGTCCCCGGAGCAATTTTCAACCGTCTACGTGGGCAACGCGTGTTTATGTGGGCGTTGGTTAAACACCAAAGACGAATGACGCTTTTGATGTTGGTGAACGATGAATTTCGCTCAGATGTAAATATTAATTGCTTGGAAACTATTACGCGAAAGGAACGCGCCTCTTTTAGTGAAAGTGAAAATGCCACGAAACACGAAAGGTCATTCGACACCAAATTAATCATTTCTTGCGCTCGATGACGAGCGTGCTTCTCAGACACGGGCTAAAAGCGTAAAAAAATTTAAATAATATTTTAATTTGATTTCGTTTTAAACGTTCGTTTCACTGAATCGTTCGAAAAATATTATGTTTATAACCCAGTACGAGAAGCTCCGACATCGCGTGCAGAAGCGATCGATTTGGTGGGAGACGATTCAGAGTTCAATAAGGCGAAATACTAATTGAAATACGAATAACCGTTTAACGAACTCGGTTAATGGCACGAGCTCCGCACGATCGCGATGCAAGTGTACTTGTTCCATCTGTGACCTTATCAATTAAGCTGTGCGACCTGTCTGACGTCTTTCGATTTCAATTAAAGTAAGTCTCGACTCATTTTTGTTTAACGTGCACGCAAGAAGAAATTCTATTGTCGAGTAAGTATGTTCGCGAAATGTATCACAGGTGTTCGTTTAAACCGAACGGTATTTACTATTTCATTCGATCATATTCAAACCGTTAGGTGCTTTTTAAAAGTTGTCAAGACTGGGTTTACGAAACGGATGCTGCACGCGTAATTTTTCAGAGTCAGATTTCAATGATGGACCGAAAGAAAAATCGAAAATCGTTTGTCAATCAACACGTTCGAACTTGAGTTTGACATTCTCGATAATTAGGTTGCGGATGTTCATGCACTTAAGATATGCAAAGAATATTTACGAACGTAAAATATACATGTATTCGTTAAACATATGTACGTGCGTAAAAAAGTATGAAAATATGCTAAATATTCAAGTAATATGTAGAATATACATTTACGTTATCCAAAACTATTATCACAATTTATTAAACGGCGATAAATATTTTATTCGATCTACTCTTGAATTCTCAAGTATTGCAAAATCAAAACAGTCAAGTTTACTTAAGCTTTAAGATACTATCTTATTTTATAATCTGTTCTGAATATTGTGTGAAAGTTTGGTTCGTATCCATTAAGTCCATCAGGAGTTTCAAAGCTTTGAATAGAGAAGTTTGGGAAATATGAATACAGAACGAGATGAAACGGCTTAAAATGTACGAATAACATGCTTCCTTTCATTTACATAATTTGCATTTATTACACTATATATGTATATTAAAATTCAAAATAAATTTGATTTTCTAATTAAATTTTTAATTAATTTTTTAAATATAAAAATGGACTTTCTTAATACGAATTGAATGTAATTCAATACAATATACGCTGAATACGAATGTCCTTCCATGTTCTCACCGTTCAAACTGCTCACGAATTTTCCATTTTACTGGAGTTAAATATGCCACATATCGATGAAATATGCTAAATGTTCGTGCATAGGTTATTTAACTGAATCATGTAAAATGTATGTATTGTGCAAAATATGCAATTAAAAAATAACTTTCCTATCCGTTTTTTAGTTAAATATGTATTTGCCTGAACATCCGCAATGCATTAATAAAAAAGATGTGTCGTAAACCTCTTTTCTTTGAAATTTAATGTATTTTCTATATTTTCATAAGGCTAGTTCGAAATTTATCGTGTGCATGTTAGGGAATTATATGTCATAACCATTACAACCGAAACCTACGCTTTTGGATCGAGATCTGTTAAAAAAATGTTATCGCAAAATTTACCATCACTTTAAAAATCAAATATTCTTTAAAATCCTTCAAAGTTTTAATAATTCTTAACACATCCATACTTTATTGTTTCGTACTTTTAATCGCCAAACTGCTATGGTTGCTGAAAATTAAATCGATTTCGAACTTTGCTGCTGGTCGTACCGGTCTCCCATTATACCTATTAAATTGCGATATAATTTCCTGGTCATATGAATAATCTCCACCTGTTTCGTTAGTAATACGCTGTTTACTTTGCAATTAATATTGTTCGACTGCAAACTGCAAGAACATCCATCAATAAAGTTTGTCCAAGAATTATTAAAATTTTAATATCATTTTCCATGTGAATGGTCAAGTTCCGTTCCACAGTTTCTTTAAAATTTGTTATTGCCAATTGGCCTATAATGGCGCATACTTTGCCTACACCCTTGGTAAAAAGATTTTTACCGTTTCGAAATCTCTAGGAAGACTTTTCCCTTTTTCATACAACGTTATGCGTAGAATCGATTGTCCGCGATTCGCGGAACACCCTGTACATTAGTATAGATTACACAAGTGTTGCTTCGCGTAGCGACGCTAACTGTACCTGAGCTATTTAACCTAACGTGTTACAACCCCCTGGCCGCTCCAAAGCCAAAGAGTTTCGACACAGAATTAGAATAAATCTTCTTAACGCTATTATCGAGGAATGGTACGTCAATCGACGCCATCCTTACCATTTTCATTCTGGCTCGCGTCTATTCGACTTTCGTCGTGCATTTCAAGAAACAGAGAAAAAAACAGAGTCGATACGGAAGTATACTTAACGTATATTTATTTTCGCGGCGTCCGCTTATACAGACACAGCAAATCGTTGCTCGGTAGTAACAGTTTCGATGTCAGCGTCGAGAGTACGCTGGAAATTCTATACAGGAACAATCTCGTTTTATTCGTCGCGCGTCGTTCTACGGTTCATTGAACGCCCCGGACACGTAAAACTTTCAGTTTCTAAACGAATTCTGCGGTACGTTCGATGGTACGCGGACCTTTCGTCGCCACGCAGACCGGATCAGATCAAGTAACGTTCACGCGAGTGGTCTGGTCTGGTCTGGTGATGGTTCTCGTTGGTCGTGGGCTATCTTGTATCGAGCTCGATCGGACCAACGAGCTCTGGGGATGATGCGTGTTCGCGCAGTGATCGTGTCGCGTGGCTGTGTCTCCTCCGGTGCAGCCCATTGCCAGGCTGACGGTGTGCCCTCTAGATCCCTTGCAGGCTAAAAGTTCCCTCATTCCCTTCTGAAAGTTACGGGACAGGAAAGCGTAGAGCAGAGGATTCAGGCAGGAATTCGTGTATGAGATTAGGAACGTCGATAAAGTCAGGAGAGTGCTGAAGTCCGACGTCCGATCGTAATTCGAGCCCCAACGACGCCAGACGATTCGTGCTTGTTGCGGTAAATTGCAGACGGCGAACATCGTCACCACGGCGATCAACATTCTGCAAACATTTTGTTCTCCTCTGTACAGGGTGTTCGACCACCCCTGGGAAAAATTTAAATGGGAGACATTAGAGGTAAAAATAAAACGAAAATCAAGAACTATTCTACAGATGGAACTTTAAACGTTAACAACTTTCTAACGAAGCTTCAATCAACAAATTCGTATTCTTGATTTTCGTCTCATTTTGGTCTCAGAAATCACCCATTAAAATTGTGTATGCCGGATAATTAGACTATATCTACATATGGAGTAACAAAAACGAGTAATATAATCACAGATCTCTGGTTACACATTATATTTTCGGTAATGAATTTTTTTCTCGAAAATGGTTAGGATTTAGGGGGCATGTGTATTCATCAAGAATGATTGTAATCGAGCCCCGCAACTAAAAATAATTTTTTTAGAACGATTTGAAATTTTTTAATTTCGCTGAAAAATTGGCAAACTGCGTTTTTTTTTATTTCTTCCAGCAGAAAACGCTTTCTAACCTATAGAATACATAGTATGTTGTCGTGCAATTTATTTCTGATAGAACATGTTTATTAGAGTCCTTATCATGTTGTTAATTCATACTGACAATTTTCCTCGAGATCTATTGAACAAGAATAATTAGTTTGGAAAACCCAACTCCCACTCTGTTTTTCCTCGGTAACGTTTTCGATAAAAAGGCTTTGTTTTTATGGTAGAAACAGCTATTTTCGTATTAAATGCAGTTTATAATAAATGACTTATGGAAATAGCGTAAGATATACATATGTACGTACATACCTTATGACGCCCCGTCTGGATCGAAGAACGTTTCTGCTGGTCCCGGCTGTCAGGCCTGGTCCGCCGAGGGTGGTGCCGCTTCTCCATAAACCGATGGCGATCCTCGAGTACAGGCAAGACATCAGCACGAGGGGAACGATGTAAAGAAAAATGAGATTCACCAGGTCGAGAACGTTTTTGTTGTGCTTCTTGATATTGGCTAGACAAATAATGTCTATGTCGCCCGTGATCAGCCGGTTTTTCATCGTTTCGACGTACAAAAACCTCGGCGAGGCGTAAATGGCGGCGATCAACCAGACCAGACCGACGACGAGCCGCAGGCGACTTCTCGTCAGCACCGATCTGCACTTGATTGGATGAACGATGGCCAAGTAACGCTCCACGCATACCACCACCAATATCAGCACGCTGGCCGCGTACGAGAGCGCGTGAACGAACATGTAAACTTTGCAAAGGAAGTCACCTAGCTGCCAGCTGTTCGTTAAATAATTCGTAAGCGTTTGGTACACGCAGAATATACCGACGCAGAAGTCGGCTACCGCCAAATTCGCCAGAAAGAAGTTCGTGATGCTGCGCAGACGACGGGAGAAACTCACCACGAAGATCACCATCAGATTCCCTGAAACAACCGAGGGGTAAATAACGATGGTTATTACTCGGATACATTCTGCTCTTCGCAACGTATGGCATCGAAGTTTCTTCGAAAGTTTGCGAGTTTCGACCGAAACTTCGCGTAACGCTCGTATTACGTACCTTTAATAGGTGGAGAGGGGGGAAATCGGGAATACTAACTGTACACGCTCGAATCGGGATTTTGAGAGCGATCGAATGAATATGTTAAGGATGCACGTTCTTTGTTGTTAAAATACATTGTAAACCAAAGTGGAGTAGACGAGAATGCTAGGAACATTGTTATGAGGAATTGTAAATGTAGAGATACCATAACGATCGTACGAAATAAAACTTGCGCTAAACAAATATAATAAGTTGAATGGATGCACTTTGCACTGACTGACAAAATGATGCCTTCTATTTTTTAAACAATTACGTAACCCGCAAAGTCCATGACTTCAATCTCCTCTAATTTCGTATGAACTACAAGGTACGTCGGTTTCGTAAACATCCTTGACCTAAAGTGCAGAAAGTGATCGATTTGGTATGAAATGACCCGTATGCACTACAGGAAACATTTATTGCATTACCCACAAAACCACATAATGCCCATACGTCTCGGAGTTATATAATGAGTAAATTGGCCAATACCCAATTTCTATCAATCTACGTATCAAGTTATATAATTTTCCTACAAATAATTAATTTAATTACTTATTTACTTACTTATTATTTGAATAATAAGACATTTTATATGAATTTAATTATTTGTAATCGAATTGGAATTAAGCTTTCACAGAGAAGTATAAAGAAAAGTATAATTTTATATAAAATTATAAATATGAAATATTCAAACTTTATATAACAAGAAAGGGAATATTCGAACATCTCTCTCTCTCTCTGAGATTAAATTTGGGATTGTCTGTGAAGATTATTACTTGTTCCCTCGTTCATTCGATCCAGTCAGCATATCCTCAATCCAGCTGTAAGCAAACTTTCTTCATTTTCTTTCTTAAAAGTGACTTTTCCTAGGCCTTCTGGCATTTAGACCCTATTCGAGCGAGCTTATTCTCAACTGAACATTATACACACAAAGGTTCTTCCAACTTGCGTTTTAACTTCTTTGCAGTTAGGCGTCTACTTTATAATCAAACTTTATAATTCCTTCTTTCCGATCTGTTCGAACTTTTTGTCCCTTCGTTGAGAAAAACACGTTTTAAGAGCCACTGATCACGTTTGGTAATTAAATAAAAGAAATTTGTTTAATGTGCTCATATACACTGATTGAACTCATTTCAATGAAACATATTTGAGTTCTATAAAAATATATTCATCTTTTATCAAAATTTTTCAAAGTCTTTTAAATAAATATTAGAGAGAATTATACTTTCCGTAGACCATTAAACAAACATTTTACTTATCTTTTCCAATAATGAAAATATTAAATGAAATAGTATTAGAGTGTCAAAAAATATTATAACGTATTTGTTTTGTTAATGTTTTCTTAACAATCTTGATGCAGTTTGATTGATTCAATTCAACCATTGCTGTAATTGCGCGTGTAGATGAAGCCAACCATGATGCTTGAATTACATAGCGTTAATTCAATAAAGTTGCCTATTTTGTAGTACCTGCCTCTCTGAAGTTTAACTACGGAATTATACGATACTGAATTCAACCGTATATTTGACGAAGTTGACATAATAGTACAGCTTTGTTGCGTTAAACAGCAATGGTCTATTGAATACCTAGTTAACGATAAAGCAATAATATTTTCCTAATACTAATATGTGGTCGTAAACTAAATAATAACATTGAATATTCAAACGAAGAGATAAATATTTCTAATACCGTACATTGTTATAGACAATATACTCTCCATTTAAACAATGCACAAAATACGATTTGCACGTAAATTACAGTTTACAACTTGATAATTTAATAAAGGTATATTCACTTTAAACTATTTATGGATTTATCGTAATAAGTTATGTATTCTAATGTAAATGAAACTTTCGATGCACAATAAATTAAGGAATAAATCGAATTTATCTATAATCCTTTTGTTCGTTATTTGACATAATTTTTGCTCGACACCGTATTACGCTTGGCAATCCAGGCAACTGTTAAATAGAGCATTTCCCAATCGTTCGACTCTAACGTCATTCAATTATTTCCTTCGCGGAGCACTAAAAAATGAAGTTTATCGGAGGCCATCGACGACGGTCGAAAATATACAAGAGCGTATTATTAGTACACGTGTCGCAATAATTACAGAAACGTCTGAAAAAGTTTCTCATTCGCTTATTATTCGATTACCCAATTAATACATTAGTTGTAACGACCAATGCTTCGAATACTGCTCGATATAAAACCGATAAATTGTCCACAGATTCCTTTAACGATTTAATAAAATTCTGGATGTTGCGTTTTAAAAAATCTATACTGCGTCCCCTCGATCTCACAAAACGACTTCTTTTTATTAAAATAGAAACTGTACTAATGCGGTCTGCTTTTTCTAGCGGGACACTTGCTACAACGCATGAGCGACACTGTATACCGCCATGTTTACATGGACTTAAAAGAGCCTCAGTGCACATTTAGCATCCTAATTATCGTAGAAGGCAGTCAACTTGATTTACGAGTCGTATAATTCTCCTTGAATTTTTGGTCTCGTTAAACCGTGAAGGACGGTGGAATGGATTTAAGAAATATGGACATGCATCTACATATGTGTACATACGTATATCCCAGATTTTTCCGTAGAAACTTCACCGGTTTGTTCTACAGGTAAAACTAAAACTAAAATGTATGATGAAAAAATGCTTTATTAAGAAGTTGTTTCGAAAATATGAAACGTAAACAATACAGAGCAAGACGAGATACGTAACGTTTATATTACATATTGATACAGGGTATATTTACTGTCCTTGTGTACTGATCCTGTACGTCAGCCATTGTTAATGTTTTGAATAAATGATTTTCCGACGTTGTTGGCAGACTTTGCTACGATTAAACGAGCCCACGAGACGAGTTTGTAATATACAAAAATAAAAAAAAAAGAAACGAACGAGAAAATAACGGGAAAGTCTTGCGATTACCTGTATTCACATGCTTAAGGAGTCGTGATTTTTCGGCCGAGAAACTTGTCCAGTTGAAGAAAGAAAACGAAGGCGAGTTTCAAAGTCGGGATTTAACTTATGGAAAATGCGTAGAAACGTCGCGAAGCAAAAATTCGAAGAACGTGCCGAAGTATTTCGAAAGAAATAATGCAATCGATGAGATCTTGGATTAAAGGAATTCTTGAGAGATAAAGGTAGACGAGCATTCGAATTCGCTATTGGATGTCTTCCAAAAGGTCCCAAGTTGCAAGATGGACGCGTCGAAGGAATTCGATAGGTATCTCATAGTTGTCGCAGAAACCGTTTATACCACGTGCATACCCACGCGATATAGTTATGTCACATCGTACGATGAATGTTTCGTTACGTTTCTCCTTTCGTTCAACAACAAATGCATTTCCATCGACTATTCTTTCGAACGCAGTCTTCGAAACAAAGATGAAACGTCACGTTTGTCACGACACGACGAAAGCTTGCGACAGCTACTTTAAATCAAGAGCTGTGACATAAAGATATTCAAGATATAGTATTAACAATTTTATACATTTTAGGATATATACTGTTTTCACTTTATATATAATTCGAAGCATAAAACTTAGCTTGTTATATGGGGTATTTATAAAATAAATAATACTCCGTTCTCGTTGTTTCTGAAATGAACGACTCCCACAACTACAATTGGTGACCAAATGTACTCTAGATAGGACAATCACATGCAAAAAAGGTTGGCGACTGCATTCAATGAATTATTAAGGAATGTACCGTATATTCTAATCGATATTTGGCAGCACAAGACAATACCTACAAAAATAAATGGGGATCTGTTAGAAAGAAATTTGGCTCCTCACACGAGGGTCGTGTGCACGGGAAGATTAATGAGTCTGGCTTCAAAAAATGGTAAAAAATCACTGCTTTCGGGTGATATACAGGTTTCCACGGATCACCGTTATTTTACACGATTCGTATCCATTATTTCAGTTTATCGACCAGACGAAATTCGTATTAATCGTTACAGAAAAATATTTTCTCCTCGTTAATAAATTATGTATACGAATTATACCTTGCCAAACGCTGTTCCAGAGAACATAATGATACATTCCAAGAACGTGTAAAATGATAATTTAATAATTTTGCAAATGTACCAAATAACGTCGTAATTTAGATTTATTCCGATTAAAATGTAAATTTGTTTTGGAGCCGTGCTGTGACTCCAGTTTTGATTTCATTAAGACTAGACGTTGCATATATAATAATTAATGTGACAAGTCGGAGATACAAGCTTCTGTGCTAATACAAAAGTTAAATTTGCCTCGTTACGCATGGTCGATTATTTACGATATTGCCAGTGACACTTGTTAACTTTCCGTAAATGTATTCTAGCTTTTCGTAATGCAGGGTGGGAAATTATCATAATTTTTATTCGATTATACAAATTTTTTATTCAACAATTTCAAGGTTCTCTTAATTAAGGTCTTCAGATACTTCACGCATGACGTGCGAAACATCTAATTATTTTAATGAAACGATTTGGCTGTTAATTTAGCTGATTGCTCGACTCGTGGTGCCCTTGCACTAGTAATTTCTCTCTGCGTCTCTGAATAATTTTGCTGTTAATTGAATGAGAACCAGAAACAAAGTATTCGATCGATTCGATTTCCATTCATATTTTTCTCGAGAAATTAGTAGAGAACGACGTAACAGAAAACGATGCAAAATTGAATTAATTTTGTATTTTATATTAATTGATCGATGGTATTATGAACGAGATTATGTAATGCTTTAATGGAAACACGTCTATAGAAAATTGAGATACGCATTCTAATACAGATCGATACTGATCTGAATTAATAACATCCCTTCAGGGCATAATAAATATCAATATGCA